ATATGACCTATCTCATTAATCATGTAGATTTCTTACTCAAAATACAGATTTGTGGCCTTACTGAGTTAAATTATCTGTGGATCCAGGATCCCCCGAAATGCATGCTTAACCAGCTTATAAGGTAATTTAATATTATGTATAGCAGAAATATAGATGATTTATAGTATTTACATACTCATTATACATAAGTATATATTATTCATTATTTACTGGCAAAATTATAGATTGTAGGCCTTCTACAAAGGTTTAGAACACAGAATTAGAAAAGAAAGACATAACCTTATATCTGCCTATTTTAATAATGTTACATAACAAAACATCTCGATTGTTCCCACTGAAATATTAAAATATTTGTAAAGTTAAGTATTTTTGCAAGCAATGAACACATTGTCTTGAAGATGTAGCAGTGAGCCTGCTGGAATTTGCATTCAATGTCTGTATATTACAACTTTATTTATTACCAGTTACTTAGCCTCTCTTCTACCATTTCTGCAGGTTTAAACATCAGAAATTGACATGAGTTTTTCATGATTTTTTTACAGGCTTTTAAAAACTGCCTCCTGTGGGTTTTTTTTCCCATTCCTCTAGGGGTTTGCAAATTAATTTCTGTATGGAAAGATGTTCAGTTACAGACTTCTGTCTGGTATTACAACCAGGCAAACAGGTCAGTTATTCCCAGGGAATTTTTATTTCGTTTTCTCAGTCATCTTAACCTTCTGGGCTGCTGGATCCTCAGCCTGTCCGTGTGGTGCCTTTTCCTTGCTAGCGTGGAGCTGTTGAACAGAGAGAACAGGTCCAGGATGACACCACAAAAACCTAGAGGAATGATTTATATGAAACTCTAATGGGCACTTTATATGACATTGTAAAGGCATTAAGTATTTCAAAACCATTATGAAAATTGTTATTATTGTACAAGTCACTTTAAAAGAATAAATTTACCCCCCAAAGCTGTTAACTCCAAAGTACTTCCTTTGAACAGTGAATGAACTGCAGTGATGTTCTTACACTTTCAGACTGCGATTACCATTAACGACTAAAATGTTGGCACTATTGTCCCTAAGTGGAACGACTGCTGGCTATTTTGTGAAGTCATTCCTTCTTAGGGTTGGAGATCAGCCTTTTTGCAAGTCTGATGCACTGCTCTTCTGTATGCTTTATTGTTTAGACTTGTAAGAAAGAACCAGCAAACTTAATTTTGTAGGCAATCAGTGGTTCTCTTGAGTACCACCTTCTATCAGTGTTTTACTTTCAAGTATGTTCCCACAGACTAACAGCACTGTGTGTTCCTCATCTTCGTTTGGAATATTTCTATTTTGTAGATTCACCGCCACTAATTGAGCATTCAAGTATCACACAGATACCAGGTGTAAAAAAATGTATTCCAGCAAAGATCAAACCAAGAGGCTGCTGCCAATCTGCCATTGGCCTTTAACCTGCTTGCTTTTCATAACGCTTAAATAAAGATCCTCATTTAAGAGCTTGGTGTGAATATTATTAAAGCTTCCCTCTGGTTCCCTTGTGCTTCGAATGTTCACTGACCTGTGGAGACAGTTGAATGGATAAATAAACTTACACTTAAGCCTGAACAAATCAAAAGGATATTAAAAGTGATTTTGATTGTTTTGTTTAAAAAAACCTTTCAATTACATGATTATTGATTGACTTTTATAATCAAGGAGGCAGAAAAATTGAAGTCATGCGCATAAACTAGCTTTCACTTCATTTTTATGGATTAAAAGTGGCAAGGTCATTACCAGGTACCCAGACCTGTTTGTTTTTCCACTTTCATTTCATATTTCTTGGTACTTGCATGGATAATATTTGGTTTGAGCCTGAAGGCAAAAAAGAGGCTATGAAGAGAGAAGGCTCAGGGCAAAGGGGCCCCAAGGGCTGAGATATGGATCAGTTCCTGCCGGTCAGCTTTGTGTAAGTATTGGTCTGTTGAGTCTTCCTTGAGGCCAATGCTCAGACACATCCTATGTTCCCAAGTGCTTGGCAGAGGAACACTAAAAGACTTCTCTTTCTCTTTCTTTTTTAAAGATTTATGTGTTTATTTGAAAGGCAGAGATACAGAGGGAGAGAGAGAGGAAGACCTTCCATCTGCTGATTTACTCTTCAAACAGCCACAACGGGCCGGGGCTGAGCCAGGCTGAAGCCAGGAGCCAGGAGCCAAGAGCTTCTTCAGGGTCTCCCTCAGGGGTGTAGGGGCCCAAGGACCTGGGCCGTCCTCTGTTGTTTTTCCAGGCGCATTAGCAAGGAGCTGGGTGGGGAAGTGGAGCAGCCGGGACTCGAACTGGTGTCTACATGGGATGCTGGTGCTGCATGTGGAGGGTTAGCCTCTGCACCACAGCGCTGGCCCCGAGACTTCTCTTTCTTGAAGCCAGTGCTCAGCCACATCCTGTGTTGCCCAAGTTCATGGCAGAGGAACACTAACGGGCTTCTCTTCCTTGAAGCACAGAGAAGCCAGTGACGATGCTGGGAGGGGAGCACAGGATTCTTACGTGTGCTGGGGAAGCACTGAGGGGCAGGCTAAGAAGTGAAACAGAGTAGAGGAAGCTCACCACCACAGCTGAAAAAGTCAGCTCTCCAGGGCTCTTGCCTGGGAGCCTTCTGGAGTTGGCCAGTGCACAACCTGAACACCCTTGAGCTGGGGCTTCACACCCGTACAGTTTATTCCTTGCAGTGAGTGACGTGGAACATATGTGACATTAAGGGTGTGCTTATGAATGTTTTTTGAATAAGTGAAACAAAGAATACCCATAGAGGAAGTATTTTTACAAAGTGTCTAGTGACAAAAACTCTTTTTATATTTTGAAAATTGTACTGGGAATTGATTCAATTTTATTTTGAGAATTAGAGCTGGAAAGAAACACAATAATAACAACACAGACTTGGCATAATGCCTGATGGTTTATAAAGCTTTTTTTTTTTTCATATTTGTTGTCTGTTCCTTTACGGAAAAGTGCGTGATAGGGCATTTAGGAAAGAACTGGAAACTAAAGAACACTGAAGGTGAGGCTTGGAATCAGAACACAGGAAAAGCTCCTAAAATGGATTTCTAACTAATCTGAACTCACGCTGCTCTATGGGAAAGCAGAAGGAGAAAATCAGCATCCAGTGGTAACCTTGGGACCAGAACGGACAGGAGGAGACCTGGCATATGTGACCATTTATATACCATGGAGTCATCCTGTTGTCACAGTTGCACGTGACACTGGGCTATGTGCAGCTCTGCATAGCATTTTAGGGTGCTTCTGTAAAACAGGCATTCAGAGAAGAGCTATCAAGACGATGAAAGACTCCCAAAACAGGACCTACTATGAAACTTCTGATGGGATCTTAGAAAATCCTTATTTGGTATTTCAGACTTCACAGTGACTCACATAATGCGGTGGCACAGGCAGAAGGGCTGCTTGCGAGAATTCCAGTTCTAATTATCTTTTCAAAGAAATCTCCAAACTTGGCGCCCAGTGCAACACCAGATTCTCATTACATAGTCTTTGGTCTGTCTATGTTTTTTGGTGGGGAAAGAACATTATAACAAAATATTATGGCAGATAGCGACTGGCTTTCTCATCAAGGACAGAAGCAAGAGCGATGTGCCAACCCATTTAGGCTAAGTAAGCAGCAGAGGAGTTTAAACAGAGGTTGTCGGAGGGGGTTATGGAATCTACTTCCCGGGAGAGTTATAAAAATAGGCCAGGCGCTCATCTCCCTTGGATGCCTTCAGCTTGTAGAGCAGCTAGAGGACATGGCCCATTAGCCTCTCGGGTTCCCTGCCACCTCTCTGGGTCTAGAGTTTAAAACAACATCTTGGGAGGGTTGTTGGGTGGGGTGAGCCGCGGTAAGCCAAGCTCATTCCTGACTGCGTTACTTTCTGGCCACATGGAATGAGAAGTCCGTGCGTGAGGGTGGATGTTTGCCGAGCCACACCGTGGGCACAGTCAAGTCGGGGTGTTCCTTCTACCAGCACCGTGGCTCGCCTGAAAATCACAGGCATGCCTGCTAGTGTTGAGTCATGGTGCTCTGTTGAGTTTCATCTGCCCTGTTGCTGTCTGATGTGTGTGTGTGTGGACAGGTTAAGCAAAGCTAACAGGAAAGGAAGTCCAGTGAAAAATCAGGGAACCCTATGGGGAAAGAAGTCTCATGTTCTCTTGAGGTTACCGTATGTTGTCAAGCACTTGCCTCTGCCATTAGATCCTAGCAGTAAGCTTTGGGTTTTCAAGGGTCTTCGTGAGGCTGAGACCCCTGCAGCATTGTTGTCTGCTGGGAACTGGTGGGGTTTCCCTCTGAGGAAGTGAGCTCTGGCTCAGGGTCCTAGCTCCGAGGAGACAGTGCAGCCCGCAGTCACAGTCAGAAGTGGCTATAGACAGCATGCACCTGTCACTGGCTGGGTGGCTGTGTTGCTGCTGATTGCACTTGGCCTTCAACAAAGAAAGTGGAGAGTTGCCCAACCACAGGGCTGGGTCCATCTTAGAGAAGCATTTTTTCAAAAAATGGATTGTATTCTCAAATATTCTCCAATATATGTAGGTATGGTACCCAAGAGAAGTAATTTAAGTATGAGGGGCCCTCAAAACGTTTATGCAAAATGCATATTAGGTTGAAAAAAATCTATGCATGAATGCCAAGAAATTTTTTTGCACCCAAATAAACTCATTTTTAATTCCATTTTCCCACAACGCTTTTGGGGAGCCTCGCATGGTGCCATGAAACTGGGATCTGTAGGAGAACAACTTTCTCTCAACAAAGTTCTAGCTTCTTAAATCATCAATTGGTCTCAGGTGGCCTGAGCTTTGCTGGAGAACAGCCAAGGCCACAATTATCCAGGCTGGCCAGAGAGACATTGCACCTGACAGCCGACAGCCTAGCAAATTGACAAACAGGTGGTACAAACCTGCTTCGCTTCTTTTAAAAATCTTTCCTCTGCATGTTCTTTCCTCCTGTTTTCCTCCAATAAACAGTGCTTTTCTCAAAGGTCACTTTACTTTCTATAGGACAAGGAGTCTTCAGCGCCCAGATGCTAAGTTGGTGCCCTTCCCTAGAAGGCTTGCCGTTAATTGAGATGGCCTGAAGGTCACGAACCATAATCAATACGAAGGCGGTTGCTGCAAGGTGCTAATTGACATCCCCAAAGAGGAATCATGTCAGCGATCAATAGAGAAGACAGAGCCCTGGTGGATTTGTGGTTTTGATTTTGCGAAGGTAGGGGAATGCCCCGTGATGTTTTCCACCCCCCGCACTCCTTTAGAATGCTAATGCTTCCTTGAAGATGATTTCAGCATCACTGCTAGGCTACTGCTCCACTCACTGAAGCAGAATCCTCCGAAGAGTTGCTGAGGCAGAACTGAACTGAAATCAGGGCTCGCCTCGGAGCAGCAGCTGTACTGGCCACTAATGATGCCTCACACAGAAAGGCAATGCTCCTCCAACTCAGGGTTCTAATGGGAAGTTTCTGAGCCTGCAAACAACAGCTTCCGAGCTGGCGTGTGCCATCAGCTGCCTGCAGATACCACTGTCTACTGCTTGAACACAGCTTGGTCGGCAAGAATGGAAACTAAAGAGGCTTCTAACTACCTGTAACTGCTCCACCGGGCAGTGGATCCCGCGTGTGCTCATCAAGATCCAGGTACTTGACCCAGGCTGTCTCTTTAATGGGCTAATTAGATGCTTTTCTCTAACTTTACTATTTATGCACAAGCATTCATCGCATGGATGCCTTTTCGGTCCAAGTTCTGAATTTAAATCTAGCTGTTAGATAAAGTCTAATTAAACAGCTGCCAGGTAAAGTTAATAGGAGAGAGTAAAATGTGATGATGCCTTTATTTTTAGAGCATGCTTAAGTTTAATATGACAGTGAGACTGGGTAGAGGAGTAAGAAAATAGGATTTTTCCTTTCCTATCTACGATGCAGTAAATTATTCTCAAAAGCTGTTTGCCCGTTGTAGTATGTTTCTTCCCATTCACCTAGAACATCCAACCTCCCCCAGTGGAACAAGGATGTTCGGATTTGTTTACCAAGGAGCACAACTTCTAATGACAGTGCCGGCTGTCCCCGGCTGATGAGCAGTGTGCAGTCCTAGCCTTGTGAGCTTTCAACAAGCTGTCTTTTCCTCATTGGAACATGCCAGGGGAGGGAGAGAAAGCCAGGTGAAATAGGGCTTGTGGTTGGAGTCACAAGTGTGCTAACAGTGCCTTTTGATGCTGCTGGCTTCTGCCTGGGCCCCCGCGTGGTTTTTTTTTTGCTCTAGCGTTCTCAGCTGGGCTGCAGCTTTGCTCTGCAGTCCCTTAGAAACTCTTCCAGCAGGTGTTAGGAGCCAGCTGAGGAGGGGGAGAAGTACCGCTAAGGCGGAGGCTCAGGCCGCAGAGGAAGGCCTCCTGCTGACCCGGAGCTGACCAGCAGCAGCGAGCGGGGATGGCCAGGTCCACTCCCAGCCCCGGGCAGCTGTGTCTGCAGGCTGACTTTGCAGGGCTGAGCGGCGGGCAGCCCTGCGGGTGCAGCGGTGGGGGCTGGCGACACTTCCCGACATGCCTGTTGACAGTTGTGGAGACCACATTGCCGTGTTCTTAGTCGCACTGCTTGTGGGCTGTCTGTAGCCGTGGGTCTGTTCTTCCCAGAGTGTGAAATGACATTCGCTCTTAGCCGTCCTGTGGATTTTGAAGCTCTGGAGCTACTGCATTGTAACAGGAGGGCTGTGGGCTTCTTTTTTTTTTTTTTCTTTTGGGAGGGGGTGCAATATAGACGTTGGCCTGTGTTCAAGTTGGTTAAAATCAAGGAAGGTGAGGTGGGGAGATTTAAAATAGAGGAAGCACTTGGGAAGAGCCAGGAACTCTTTACCTGGTATTTTGTGTGTGTGTGTCCTGATAGACAGGGTACTGTTCTCGGGCCAATATGCCGAATTTCCAAAAGCTGCATGGAATGATTTTGTTCCTTCGATGATGGCCTGGCTTAGGGGGGGATCCCAGTTGTTGGGGGGATGTCACCATGGGTGTTTGAAGATGCTCCAGTTCCAGTTCTACAAATGGGAGTGCAGCTGATGATTTCTTTAGCTCAGAAAGGAGGGAGTGTATTGTGCTGAGGCTCAGCGTCAGGATTTGTGTTACTTTAATCACTGAAAGCCGTGTTCACTCTTCTCCATCGGCTACAGAGCTGCTGCCCAACAATGCAGCACTTCAAGTTCGCCTCTGCCAGTGGCTGCAAATTCAGTCCTCACAGGCTGGCTGTTTCCCTGGCTGGCAGGAGCCTACGGATTGCTCTCCTCAGTCTGCCAGGTAGATAGAAATAAGGTTCGCAGCGTGTCTGTGGTACAAGGTGTCCTGACCACCCCATAGACTCATCAACCGCACGCTCCCGTGAGTGTTTCTGCCCAACAGAGAGCCTGTTTTCACACCTGCTTTTGCAAACATGTCAAGTCACATGATGAGGTTTCTGGCTGAGAAGTTTTAAAAATTGGGTATAGCAAAGAAAAAAAAATAGGTGTGGCAATATTGTGGTTTAGGTGTACTTAAAATACAAACAGGCTTTCTTGACTGCAGCACAGGAGTGACAACTCTTGACTCCCTCCAATACGATGCAGAAAACACTTGGGGTCCAGCATGCCTTGGGGAGGTGCTACTTTTTTGGTAATGATTTTTATGGATTCTAGGTACTTTCTCTGTGATCTCTTAAAGTGTGCTCATTTGCACAACAGAAATTAGAAATAAACCTCATTTTGCACACAGATAGTATACAGAAAACATCCACTCGTCACCCTTCTGTCTTCAAGACACACTATATGCATGCATGCTGCAACAGTTATCATTGCAACCCGCAGCCAGAGGCTCGGCCCTTGAGTCCACGGCCACAGAATTGAGACTGCAGAACCCAGGGGCTGTGTGTGCTTCTGCAGAATAAGGTGCCAGATGCACTTAACAGATTCTGCTGCTGTCACTTTAAGAAAAGAAACCTGTCATTGCTTTAAGATATATTTTCCTCCCAGAAAATACTTTTCTTTACTGTAAAATTGTGTAATGAGATGCTAATGAAATAAAATGTCCGTGGGATGCGAGCCAGAGATGGGTACATATTGACCTTAAGAGTTTCCGTGTAGGATTAGAATTCAGGATATTGCCCTTCTTCATCAAAAAGTGGACTAGGTAAGCAAGGGTTGACCTTTCAGTAGGAAGGGAAAATTCTATCTCTGGCTGAGTTTTTTGTATTTCAGACCCCATCCAACCGCACGAGGCTGAGGGAAATTTCACAGCCTATTCACTTAGGGCTTTTTCATCTCACGGGATCTGTGACTATTCAAGGATCCTTGTGAGCTGAACTTCGTGTCTGATCCTTTGGAACACAATAATCTGGCATCCAAGGTCGGGCGACCACAGATGGTTCTCTGCTTCCTCTTATCATCACTTCCTGGCACCTGCATGTTGGAATTCAGGTCCCTGGATGGCAAGGGGACGAAGATCTGATTCGACCTAGATGTAAAGAGACTGAGGGCAGCACAGCAAGGAATTCCTCAAGGAGCTGTGTTTAGTGAAGGGAAGGAGACGGACGCCATCTAGACTTGTGCTGTAATCCACACTGCCCCAGAGGGCAGGGAAGGCCTTGGGGACAGAGTGTGAAGCCCCTGCCACAGTCTTGGTGGAGGGGGACATATGAGGCTGTAGAGAGGAGGGGGATGTGGTGTGGACCCTGAGAAAGCAAGAGGGAGAAATTCCACAGGTTGGAGAAGGGCAGGGAGGGGAGCATTAAGAGGTGGAAAACCGGCAGGTGTTCAAATAACAGCTGGTGTGAGATGGAGTAGAACAAATTGAGGACATTGTCGTCAGGTGTCCGCCAACACGAGTCCATATAAGTTTATCCAGATCACCGTGTTGGTCATTCCACTGGAAGCCAAGTGGGACCTGACTTAGTTGCTTTATAAACTGATGGAAGTAACTCCTTACTTAGCAAATGCTGCCAAGAATAAGGACTCGTTTCTGGTTCACGCTTACTGTGAGGGTAAGTCCTGATTTCTGGAGCAGCAGACAGCAGGGCAGCAGGAACCCCTCAGGGGGCTTCATGGGCAGTGGATGCTGGGGTGCGCAGGTTTTCTGGGGAGGAGAGGCAAGGTCGGGGATGGGCAGGATGAACCCAGATACAGTCCACACGGCCAGCGTGAGCACCGCCCGAGACGGCGGTGTTGAAAGTGACTGGAACTATAGCAAGAGGCTCACAGAGGGAATGGCCGTGGCTGGGCCGGGCCGGGCTCACCCCGACTTCCCAAGCGTTTGGAGTGCTCCGTCCTTGGTCGGCGTCCCACAGAACAGGGAGCGCGATGCGGGGACGGGGTGTAGTATATGATTTTGTGAAAGGTTAATGAAGGCTTTGTTGGTCCACTATTAAAATTAGATTTTATTTCCTGAGCGCACACACGTGGACTTGGCCGAGGGGAAGACACGGATGTGCTGCCTGATGGGGAAAACCAGTGAGGACTGAAACAGCGCGGTAAGTAGCTGCGGCCCTTCTTCCGCTTCCAACAGCTGCCGTTTGTTAGGCTTTCCATTTACGATGGGCATGTCAGAATCTTCTGAAGTCATTTTTTTTGAATGTTCAGATGTCATTGTTCATCCTAAGGAAAGATTTCACTGTTCAGTTAAAAACAGTCATGAACACTTTCTAAGAGTCGTTTTCACCCAAAAGGGATATTTGGCTCTCAGACATTTGAACAGTTTGGGTGTCTGAATAGTTCTGGAGTGTGGTGGTCACACGAGTCAGTGCTTGTCTTTTCTCTGTCTTGCCATGTATCTGACAGCCATCGGCGATGCAACATATTTCATTTTCTCCATCTGACCATATATCTGACACTTGCTTCAACTCAGATGTGTTGTGGAGCTTTCCAAACGTGTACATTATTAATTAGCCGATTGCAGATTTCAAATCCAGCAGGCTCTTCCAGGGATTTCAATCAGTCTAGGCAAAAGTGGGAAATAGCTGGCATTTGCTTCTCTCTTGATCCATTTTTCACCATCTCCTACACATCATGAATCTACTCACCACCCGCCTTCCCTCCGCGGGCCTTTCCTGCTGCCCCCCCCCCATGGCACACCCAGATGTACCCCACCTCCTTCCTAATAGCCCCTCATTCTCAGCAAGGCCTTCTTCTCTCGAATCCCTTTCTCCCTGCACATTGAAGCAGGAGCAGACAAATTCCTGCTAAAATCTGAACTTGCCACCTTGGTAAAACTTTGTAATTTAAGAGTCTGATTGTTTGGCAGAAACCAGTTGTTTGAACAAAAGTTGGGACTCCGTGGGCTGCAGGGAGGGAGAGGTTTCCACTCACAGTGTGCTATAGAGTTTTCAAAAACCTTTTGCCTCCGAGGGAATGTCTGCGAGTGTTCTGGTGGCCTAAAATCCAGGCAGTCTTCCTGAGATGGGTTCTGTGCCAGTCTTTAGTTTTGTTTCTCAGATTGTTTTCTTTCCACTCTCTTGTGGGTTGCTCCTGTTTGTAATTTAATCCTGACTTGATGGCACTAAAAAAAAAATTTGCCCTCTAATTGCTTATCAATTGGTATATCTGGTAGGGACTGGTGATACAGGGGTCAGAAAAAAATATGTATATTTATGTTTTAGCAGGATTCTTAAAACACGTGACCAGGTACAGAGAGAGTTAGCCTTATTTTTGCCTTGTGCCTTTTAGTAATCAAAGGATAGAAAAATTGCGAAGTAGAATGGATTTTATTTATTTAGAGAGAGAGAGAGGGAGGGGGGAAGTAAAAAGAGAGACAGACTATTCCATCTGCTGGTTCACTCCCTGAATGCCTGTAACAGCTGGGGCTGGGTCAGGCTGAAACCAAGATCTAGGAACTGAATCAGGGTCTTCTTTGTAGGTGGCAGTGAGCCAAGTGTTTGGGCCATCACCTGCTATCTTTTTGGGTGCACATTAAAGAAGCTGGACTAAGGAGTGAAGCCAGGCCTTAGATCCAGGCACTCAGATGTGGTATGTGAGTGTCCCAAGTTACCTGTTAACTGCTGTGCCAAATGCCCACTCTGAGTCAAGATGACCAGATTATTTGCTGGGGCTTCTGGAACGATCGTCTGTAACTGCAGCCCCCAAGTGTGTGGTTCTGAGTATCGGTGGAGCCTAGCAGGTAGGGGGTATTACTGTAGGAGAAAGTGATGTGGCATTTTGTCTTGTATAGAGGAGAAGGCTGGGGAGACTCTTCGTGGGTGTCACCCTGACTCTCAACACGTGGAGACAGGAGTGCTGGGGGAGCATCTGAACAAGGGGTTGCAATGCTGGTGGCGAGGGCTCACTTTCGTAGGCTCAGAGTTACCCCTGCTAGGTCTTTTCTGCTTGCTTTGGAATTTACACATCCAGAAATGTTGGTGTTGTAAATGTACATGGCTCGTGGGCTTTGCGCTCCTGTGTTTCCAGAACTTTCTAGACATGCATACCTGCGTCAGCTTTCCTGAGATGAAGAACAATACTGGCCTCTTCTAGGAGAAAAAAATGGCCTTAGTACGGGATTCTGGTAAACCAGTGAGAGAGCAGCGTCAAAGTGAGGGGCACCCCACTAGGACACAACAAGGCAAAAATGGACGTGCAGATGTGGCTAGGCAGCTGCCCCTCCATTATCAGAGGGCTTTCCTTTGTCTCATCTGAGGTATGACTGAGCCCGGGGTGGGCATTTCCGGTAGGCATCGATGGGCCGAGTTTGACATGTTAGGGAGAGCTGCGTCAACGGCTCTGGCCTCACTTGCTGCCATCTCCCCCTCCAATCCCAAAGTGATTCTCCAGTGTGGGAATCAACACCCACACAGAAGCGGTGCTCAAAAGCAAGCCAACCACAACCCAAGCCAATTCATTAACATCCTCTCTGTGCCTACAGAGCTAGCTTTTTAAAAATACAACAAAAATGTATCCCAGTCTTAAAAAAAAAAGAGGCATGAATCTTGAAACTATTCTTGCCTTGAAAAAGAAATTCCAAGAGACACGACTGTACAAAGGGATCTGTCACCCTAAACTGGCAATTCCTTCTTCCCAGATACCCATTTATAGACTGTTTTTGAAACTGTGGTTTTTGTAAACTTTGAGGTGTCCTCCCCTTTGCTGACTGTCATCATGATGACTGGTGCAGTACTTCATGCAGCGGTGACGGTGTTCATGCTTTGGGTCATAATTTCTGTTTTATTTGGCTGCTTATTTTCCTTGAGTGTGATATCTTTTGGATGCATGTCAGTGTTGTAGCTAAGTACTCTGCTATGCCATTTTTCTTATTGACAAATTTGTCATAAATATGTCACGGTTTTCTATATGATGATGTCTTCATACACATTTTTCTTTACAAAATTTGACTTAAATAGGTTTAGTCCAGGATCTGAAGCTTCTCGTGTCCTTTGTGTGTACTTTGCTTTGCCTTTGTGAGTGAACAGTAATATCCATATACTTCCATTTTCCCAGCAATCAAATGGAAATAGTAGTAACTTGTCCTTTTTCTTTCCTCCTCACTACCAAAAGTTCTTAAATGAAAGGAAGGCACTGCAAGAAAAACTGTCCTTTGAAAATCATGCCGTCGATCAATTCTTTTTCCCCTGGCTCAATTCCCTGGGTGTTGCAGGGTCAAATATTGAATCTGGCCTTCGTTCGCTGAAGAAAAAAGAGACAGCGCAGGGAACGTGATGGTTAGGGACTCCGAGATGCCTCCCTGCTCCCTTGACTGCCGCAGAAAAGAGCGTAGCTTCCTGTGTTGAGTCTTCAGCGAGGCACCACTTTGTTTTGCTTTTGCTTCCTCCTCTTCTTTGTAGACCCTTCAAAGGGTTTTCACAGACATTCATCCTTATCATAGCACCATGAGATGTGCAGGCATTTCTACTTGGATTTTTACATCTTGGCGACCTCTCCAAGGTCACCTCCTCACTTAGCGGTAGAGCAGAGCCCACAGCCCCCAACCCAGTGCTCCCTGAGCAAGCTTCTGTACTGAACCCCACTTCTAGCCTCCGCTTCCTTACCTTGGGCCTTTAGCGATCCCAGCTTTTCTGGAGCTCATGGCATAGTGGCTGACGTACGTCACAGCCCTGGTACAAAGCTCCTCGGCACTCAGTGCCCCTAAGAATGTTGTCTAGGAATGGTGTGAGGGTAATAGAGGGCAGCCTCCCGTGATGAAGGCATCCCATATCGGAATGCTGGTCTGCATCCCAGCTGCTCCACTTGCAATCTAGCTCCCTGCTAATGGGTCTAGGAAAGCAGTGGGAGATGGCCTGAATGCTTGGGCCCTTGCCACCCACATGGGACACCTGGATGGAGTTCTAAGCTCCTGGCTTTGGCCTGGCCCAGCCCTGGTCAATGTCGGCATTTGGAGGAGTGAACTAGTGGATGGAAGACCTCTCCCTCTGCAATTCTGCCTTTCAAATACATAAATAAATAAATAGAACTATTACTGGAGGGAAACTGGAAGATACTTGGCAGGGGAGGCTGGGTTTGGATGTCCACTTGACAGCACATCCTGACATCAGCATTACCTTGCACCTGTCTCGCCTGCTGGATCATAGGTGCGTTCCCTGCCTATCTCTGCTGGCCCCGGGTGGCCGTTCTAAAGAACACTCTGGTAATTTTGTACAATAGTAAGATGTTCTATCCCACACTTGTACGTAATTAAGCGTCCTTGATTAGAAGCAACCAGCTGCATGTTTCTTCTCTCTGAAAATATGCCTATGCGCCAACCCAACACCATGGCTACCTGATGGTTACTCACTTTCCTTCTCTTTCTCCCTGAAGATAACTTGGCCTCTGCAGGGCACAGCCACCATGATCTCAGCAGACTGATGATGGAAGAAAAGGAAACCAGGAGCTGCCGTGCTCTGGCCTCCCTGGACGATGGATGGTGGGCAGCCCGTCCCTTCGCCCCTGGTGCCCCTGGGCAACGTGTCATCTGAGTCTAGCATGTCTCTGGAGCAGAAAACGACGTTTGTGTTTGTGATTCTGCTGTTTATTTTCTTGGGCATCCTCATCGTCAGGTGCTTCCGGATTCTGCTGGACCCCTACCGGAGCATGCCAACCTCAACCTGGGCCGATGGACTTGAAGGCCTGGAGAAAGGCCAGTTTGACCATGCCCTGGCTTAGCGGGGGGGAAGCAGGGCCTCCTCCCGAGGAGGCAGAGAGCTGCATGTGATGACACAGATTCCCTTTAGCTAATGTTCTTAATAAGTCAAGCTCTTAACAATATCCGGCTCTAGGCCCCACCCCAGCCCATTGTTCCATGATCATGCAGTTGGGTTAAAGACATTTGAGAATGTCGGAAATGCAGGTGTATGCTACTAACCCCAAATGGGAAAGTTTACCTTTCTGTGTTAACCCGATGAATGAGGATGTGTGATCTTGAAACCAAGAGCACTGGTGTTCGTAGACTTTGCCACAAAGTGGAGCAGGACCTGATCCGACCAGAGAAGACTGGGAAGGAACTGATCTGAACCTGCAGACAAGACCGAGAATAGACCGCCTTGTTCCAATCATGTCTCCATTTAGTTTATTGCCTGGGCATCTGGGTGCTGGACAGAGTGAGGAAGGAGATGCCGAGGGGAACTCCAGCACGTTCCAAAGCAGCGACCACTGGGAAGCAATGAGAAGTGACAAACTGAGAAGTGACATTTCTGCTGATGGTAGACAATATGAGTGTGGGTGATAGCTTACTTCTTAAATGGAACTAAATTTAAAGGCTATCGAGGTTTAGAAACGATGTACCAGGCCAAGTACATTCTCTGTATACATATTAACAACATGTGTAGAGGTAACTATATATAACCTGGATTTCCTTTCTTTATCTAAATGATTGAAAAATAGGTTGTAAGTGTTCCTGCAAGTTTTTTTTTTTTTTAAAGTAAATATTGTTTAGAGGATAAGGCTTTTACAGTCTTGAGAGAAATGAATGTTGATGTCTGTGTGTAGTCACCAAATAAAACTTTTCGGGAAACAGAAGTGTGTCCTCTCTAGTTTCACCAAGACTGGCTTCCTGGAGGTGGTGTGCAGTGTTGAGTGCTGAGGTCACTCACGACATGTAAAAACAGAGCAGGGTGGCCGGTGCCGCGGCTCACTAGGCTAATCCTCCGCCTTGCAGCACCGGCACACTGGGTTCTAGTCCCAGTCGGGGCGCCGTATTCTGTTCCGGTTGCCCCTCTTCCAGGCCAGCTCTCTGCTGTGGCCAGGGAGTGCAGTGGAGGATGGCCCAAGTGCTTGGGCCCTGCAGCCCATGGGAGACCAGGAGAAGCACCTGGCTCCTGGCTTCGGATCAGCGGGTGCGCCGGCCGCAGCGCGCCGGCCGCGGCGGCCACTGGAGGGTGAACCAACGGCAAAAGGAAGACCTTTCTCTCTCTCTCTCTCTCTCACTGTCCACTCTGCCTGTTAAAAACAAACAAACAAACAAACAAACAAAAAAAACCAGAGCAGGGTGCCAGAGGTCGTTTAACTCATGCCACCTGTGTGTCCACCAGAAGGGAAACGTCAGTGCCCCCTTATTCCAGCTTTCATTGTTAGCAAAACTGTGTCCACACCAAACCCTGTAGGCTATATTTAAAATCTCTCTGAATTTTTTCCACAGCTAGTCATCTTTTTTTTGATGAAAAACACGTTAAAAATCTATGTCCAAAAAGGCAGACCTTAGTAGTAATTCTTGTTTTTTTTTTTTTTTTAATGTTCTTTGGATTTTCTGATGTTCAGCTTCCACTCCCCACTCCTTTCACCTCCTTGAATCTTTTTTGTTTTTCTTGACACATGCTTTAAGCAAATATAATTCCCATGGGCCCGGTGCCGTGGCTCACTTGGTTAATCCTCTTGCAGCGCCGGCATCCCATATGGGCTCCGGGTTCTAGTCCCAGTCACTCCTCTTCCAGTCCAGCTCTCTGCTGTGGCCCGGGAAGGCAATGGAGGATGGCCCAAGTGCTTGGGCGCTTGTACCTGCATGGGAGACCAGGAGGAAGCACTGGCTCCTTGCTTCGGATCAGCGCAGCACGCCAGCCATGGCGGCCATTTGGGGGGTGAACCAGCGGAAGGAAGACCTTTTTCTCTGTGTCTCTCTCTCACTGTCTAACTCTGCCTGTCATATATATATTATATATATTATATGTATATATAATTATATATATATAATTCCCATGCCATAACCCTTACCCTTTTAAAGTATACCATTCAGCAGTTTTTCGTATTTTCACAGAGTTGGGCACCCATCACCACCTGTACATTCTGGAGTCCTGTATTCACTAACGGTCACTTCCCATTCCCCCTACCTAACTCCTGGTAATGCTAATCAGTTTTCTGTTTCTATGAATTTGCTAGTACTGAACAGTTCATACACGTGGTATCAATAGCATGGCCTTTAGTGTCTGGCTTATTTATTTAAAATATTAGGTTTAAATATTTTAAATATAAAAATCTAAGATAATATGTTAACTAATTGAAAGAAAGAGCGCCCACAACAGCTGGGACTGGACCAGGTCAAAGCCAGGAGGCAGGAACTCTATCCAGTGTCCCATGTAGGTGACCGGAATACAAGTACTTGAGCCTTCTGTCACCCCCTACCCCACCCCCCCGGGTGTGCATTAGCAAGAAGCTGGATCAGAAGAGGAGGCAGGACTACATCCCAGGCACTTGGACGTGGGATTGTGGGCGTCCCAAGCAATGGCTTGACATGCAACACTAAGACAACCATCCCTTGCTTCTACATAGTATGCTTTCAGGGTCTTTCCCTTGTTGACCAGATAGTATTGCAGCGCTTCAATACATCACGTTGTGTTGAATCCTTTGGCTGTCCTGGTTGTCCACTGGCTATCATGAATAAGCAGTGAACGTGTGGGTACCAGTGTCGGGGGGCCTGGGCTGTGCCTCCTCTTGAGCACACACCAAGGCATCGATTTGCTGGGCTCATATGGTAACTCTATGTTTTACTTTTTGAGGAGCTGTGTGGCTATTTCCCAAAGCAGTTGCATCGTTTTGCATTCCCACCACTAATGTACGATGGCTTAGATTCTTTTCATAACTCTCTCCAATGACTCAAAAGTCTTTTGTAACAGCAGAATTTATGACTGATCACAGCACTCTAAGAATGACTCATTTTAAAAAGAGTGAATCTTCTCGTGTTTCCTGCCTACTACAAGCGTGTAGGTGCTGTTGGAAATCTTTGTTTCTGGATCTAAAGCAAAACACTGTCGATCTGCAGTCACGTGGTGGTCCATTAAGTCACCTGGGCATTTTTTCTATCTCAGTAACACATGCTTCTTGAACCCACTAACGGTGAGGTTTTCCTTTTCCTTCCAGTGTACTATGTCATGTTTGTCCATATTAAATATTTTCCGTATGTTCTTGAGAGTCCCTGCTAATGCACTCAAGTACTTATGGAGCTCCTGTTTTGAGTCTGGCGTGGCTAGCACTGGAGAGAGAGGAAGAGTAGGCTCAGTTCTTTCTCTTGAGTAATTTTCTAACTTGCTGGGGGAGATAATAAATGAAAGAAAGATGTGATGCCCGCGCCGCGGCTCACTAGGCTAATCCTCCGCCTAGCGGTGCCGGCACACTGGGTTCTAGTCCCGGTCGGGGTGCCGGATTCTGTCCCGGTTGCCCCTCTTCCAGGCCAACTCTCTGCTGTGGCCCGGGAGTGCAGTGGAGAATGGCCCAAGTGCTTGGGCCCTGCACCCCATGGGAGACCAGGAGAAGTACCTGGCTCCTGGCTTTGGATCAACGCGGTGCACCGGCCGTGGTGGCCATTGGAGGGTGAACCAACGGCAAAGGAAGACCTTTCTCTCTGTCTCTCTCACTGTCCACTCTGCCTGTCAAAAAAAAAAAAAAAAAAAAGATGTGACCAAAACATAGTTCAGGTGCCTGGCGTGGACCTCTGTTTGTGGCATCATCAGAGGAGTATGTGTTGGGAGGGGGACCTCATGGGAACACCAATTTTTGCTATGCAAGTTGTGCAGAAAATGGGAAATACAAATGGCAGTAATCAGAATCTTACCACCCTGGGTCACCCCAGCTTTACGGTTTTCCTGGGGAGCTCATTGAAAATGGGCCTAACTGCAGCCTTCCTACCCTAAAGGGTGATTCTGCAGAGGCGGGTAAGTAAAAACACTCTGAGAAAGACAAGGACCGAAGGAAATGTCCCAGGAGACAGCGGCTCAAGTGATGGCTCAAGAATAAATGCTGGACACTCGCACTGTTAGTTATCAGTAAATAAATTACATCTCGACCTCACAGGCCAGTGGTGTCTCACACACGTGCCAAGGAAAGAAGGAGCAAAAAGTGTAAACTCCGAAAGCGGAGGTGTGGGTGTGGGTGTGGGTGTGGGTGTGGGTGTGGGTGTGGGTGTGGGGCCCAGGGGTAAGCACGCAGCCTGGCTGGGGAGGCAACTGAAGCTCCCTGCCAAGGACAAGGGCAGAGCTGGCCGGCAGAGGGTCCAACACAGAAAACCCGAGCGTGGGAGTGGCTGGGCTCAGGAGAGAAAAGAGGACGTGAAGAGCGTGGGCTCAGGCTTCTGTGCCCTTCCTCGGGGTGACAGGAAGGGACACAAATAGGCACCTGCCCCTCCATGTGGCCTTCAGCACATGAATCGCAGGAAGTACAGGGAGCCTCCCAGGACCTGCTCTTCTGTGTCCCCACTCTATTTTCCTTTCTCCTTCTCCTGTTACTGCTGCCCCCAGGGTGTCCCCCTCCTCCCTTGGCTGGAGTAAGAGAACCCCAAAGCTTTGGCTTTCCAGAGTAAATTGATCCCTCATGGGAACAGTGCAAAGTCCCTGTAATTGCTTGCAGCTCCTTGGAGGAACAGTGAGTTCTCAAAAGGTCACATAAGCCCTTGCCTTCCTGACTTGCTACAAGAGTTATAGTGCAACACTGCGCCTATCGTACAAGATATTTTTAACAAGTGCAGCTGGCCTTTACCATGTCTATCTACATCTCAGGGTAAAAAAAATATGACTTTCCAAGGTCATTCTCAAGAATAGAGACAGAATCTGCCTTTGTTTCAGGGAAAGGTGGCATCCCCATTCTTTTCTGAGCCCTGGTTCCCCGTGGTTTACCACCCAAGTTCTAGATCAACATTGCTCCCTCCAAGAGGCCTTTCAAAATATCTTAAACACCCAGTAAAGCAAGTTTAACTTTGGACGTGAAGGAGATTAACTTGACTCCTGCTGTTAAATTAATACACATTCCAAGACAGAGAATTCTTTTGCTGTCTTTAAGGGTTAAGGCTGAAGCAAAATAAGCAGCAATTTTAGGAGGCAGAAGCTGGATCGAGCAGATGTTTACGGATGCAGAAAAAATATATATTCAAGTTCCTTTTTTATTGGATTCATTCATTGCACAGTGTTTGGCTCGAGCACGTAAGCTTGTATATTGCAAGTATATTGAGAAATGTGGTGTGATGAGAAACTTCACTTGTCCATGAAGCATTAGAGAAAAGCCTTGCTGTTTCTACAGAACTTTGAGTTTTGATAGGTGAGACATTGCAGCTTAATTATTTTCAATAAATATTCTAATCCCTAAAACATTAAATAAAATCTGAGGTGTGATTTGTGAGATGTCAGTCTTCCAAGAAAAACTGTGCAAGATGCGATTTAACCATTTACTGGTGAGTCACAGTGTTAGAAAGGAGAGCCATGAACTCCACAAAAGAGCACTCGAAATCACAATACAGGCATGTGAAGTCCAAGATCAAATCGGCCCACTTCAGAGAGATCATTTTGAGATGGCTAAGAATCTCTAAGCTCTGTTTATTCCTTTTGGTTCTAAAAAGGATGAGTCTATAATTTCCAGACAGACGCCCACCCTACTGACGGGCGCCTCCCCAGCCTGCAGCTTGCTCTGGCCAGATGACTGGGGTCCAACACTTCAGCTGGCCTGGCATCCATTCCAAGGTCATATCGTTTGAAGAACAGGGCTCCCGGGTGGATTCCGTATACAATCATCCTTGATTGACACTGCTTTAGCGA